TAAGCAGTATGTAACAGTATGTAACATTACTTTGAGATACTGCCCCCATTATCTACATTATAACAACCAATGGAACAGGTCTTCCTGTAAATCATTACAATTACTGCATCCTTCTCTGGAGAGAATTAGCTTCCTATAGGGCTGTTGTGTGGGTAGCTTGGTCGTTGTGCAGGCTAAGGCTGGACTATGTGGACAAAACATCCTTGTGAATTTGATACAACAAACACATTGGTGAATCAGTAATTAGTAATCAGTAATAAAGGCTGACTTGCATGATTAAGTACTCAGTATTTATGTTGGATTTTTTTTTGGATTACATGAACACATTTATGGCAATAGAAACAGTCATCTGGAACTGTGGTTGGTCAGGATGCTCACAGCACATAATAATAAAAAACAACAGCAACTAAAAAACATTCTGATTCTATTGTGAATATTGTTATAAGGATCAATAAATGAATGTAGCTCTAGTGGGCGCAGGGCCACAAAACTGTAATTCCTCTAGTAAAAAAGACTCTAAGTGCAAATGTCCTGTGAACATACACCATACCATAGAAGTGCTTTTGGTATTGGTAATAATTCTGCCTGCTGCACAGAGCATGTGTAACCAGTGCAGCTGCATTTCTAAAGCAATCTCATACGTGTTAGGTACAATCAGTGTGTTATTAATGTGGGACATCACCCATTGTTTAAAAGTTCAGTTATGTTGATGTGTGGGAATACTGCTGTTTTGCTGCGACTTACACAAAATAAATAAAAAAATGAACGAATATATTATCTGATATTCAGTATTGTCGGATGCTGGTATTATGATAATTACAGTCGATTCTTTTGGCATCCTGTTTTTAACTCACCCAGTTACTGATGCGTGTGTTTTTACTAGTGGTGGAAATTTCCCTTTATTTAAACTCAAATAAATGGACAGCATAATGCATAACACCACCAGTTTACACACTGGAGAATACACTTTATTTTTCCATTCAGGTGAGTACAATAATGACTATAAATGTGAAGTACACCATATAATAAGATTCCTTGGGCAAGACTTCCAATGTTATACTCACTTGCTTTGCAGGTTCCCAACCCTGGTCCTAGAGTACCCTGTATTCTGAACAATTTAGTGTTTTCCTGATCTACCACACCCAGTTCAACTCAAGTAGGGCTGGTTCAGAGCTGCTTAGTTGGATTGAATGTATTAGAAGCAAGGAAAATACTGAAATATGTAGGGGTATTCCAGGACATTATAAATAAAAATATATAAATATAAGGATGTAATATAATAGGATATAAGTATATAAATATATAGGACAATATAAATAAATTACTTTATAAGAGTGCCTGCTAAATAATATAAAGTATTTACAAAAAAATATTGTGTTAAGTTTACAATAATTCTCTAAAAAGCTGTGTGATTTAGGCTGTGCAAAATTAATCAGTGACCCATCTTTAGAGTTGAAATCTGTGTTACACTGCACTTCATATATGCATTATAGTATGAATTTGTTTTAATAGCCAAAAAAATGAAGAATTGTTTGGTATTTATATTGTTATATGTCACAATAGTGTTTTGCGTTTCATCAGTTTTGCTTGCTAAGAACACCATATTTGAATGATTGAGCAGCGTACAACAGTTGCAAGTTCCTTACAAACCGCACACTCTTTGGAGAACAGAGAAGTGTGACATAGCAGACCTTATTTTTGAAAGTAAATAGTCTTTAAAAGTAACACCTCCTTCTCATTTGGGGAAGTTTTTGATGCCTGCGCTTCTAATAAGGAGTTCTAGTTCTGTCATATACTGTCTCCCTTCCACCTGATGTGTGAGTCCATTCGTTTCAGAGAATCAGCCATCTCTAATGAGCGTGTGTGTGTGTGTGTGTGTGTGTGTGTATAAAGACTACAGGAATAGTATCAGTAACAGTAATTAGTGTTGTTAAGAAGGGTAGAGACTCAGGATGACTCAAGCATTTTAAAGTGTGTGTAATCTTGCTTGCTAGGGTTTTGGGTTTCTCCTAGAGTGTGGCGAGCTTACTGCTACAACTTCCTCTTTTGTGTGGGCAGCTATATTTCAACACATTTACTATCAGGAAGTGCATAGATACATCTAACAGTTAGGGCTGTTGCTATATGCTGTATTAGTAATTTAGTAATCTGCCAGTTATTGGCAATTAATTAAGTAATTAGAATTAAAAAGGCAAAATAGGAAATGTAAAATAGATTTAACTGAATTAACATAAAAACATATAATAAGACTAATAGGAGAATTTTAAATATGCACTTTTTGTGACCTTGTTTAATCGAGTACTTGCAGCGGCCCTACTAATAATATATTATTAGTACAAAGTACTTAATAAGGAATATTGCAGCCTCTTTAGGGAAGCTATGAAAGCATTTGACCTCAGTCTAGTTCATTAACCTATTCTTGAATTCGTTTAGCAGTACATATAGGGGCATTTTATACAGTAAGATCATGTCAAATAGTTATTTTACAACCATGCAGTTATCTGAATTATTGCTTTCACAAGATGGCTTTGGAGTTGAAGGTTTGCTTTGACTTTTTATTCAGTCATAAACATTTCCCAATGTATTAAAAACAGTGAAAGACAATTTATCAGATTGTGTTAGCTGAATTGTGTTGCACAGCAGTTCAGGTTGATGCTTCTTCCACCAGGTTATGTGACTATTGGCCTTGGATCTAAGCAGTTTCCGAACCGCAGATCTGCCATATTTTCCAGCTTGTATTTATCCATTTGTCATATGCTGTCTTTATAAACACGAAGCCTTAGTATTGCAATATTACAAGCACCAAGAAATGTATCATATTGTCTGGGACAGAATAAATAAAGACAACAAGGTAGCCGTCTGGTTATATATGTTATATGTATATGTGATATATATTTTATGTTATAGGTAGGTCAAGCAGGACATTCAAATAGATTTTTTTTTTTTCATTTTTAAGCGAGTGGCTTTTTGCATTAAGCACAGATGTGTTTTGCAAAATGGTTTGGCTCATTGAAAAGACCAGGGATTGTAAAGTTTGCATAAAGCTATTTGACTGCTCTTCGTGGTTCAGAGAAAGCAGAGGTAAAGTCCCAGACACTAGAATGCTAGAATAGAGAGCTTGCAGTCTGGCTGTTCAAGCCCAATAAGGACGATCACACTGTCTTTGTCCGCTGAATAAATGAAGGTTGTAGCGGAGGGTTAGAGACACCGTTGCCAGCATAACAAAAGCACTGGATGTCTCAGCCCTGGGTGGAGACTATAATGCTGAGTGGAATCTCAGCCAGCTCTCTAAGCTCAGAGCTTACACTGACATCTGATACTGAAGACCACTGTACACTGGCAGTGTGTCTGAGCCAGCACAGACAAGCAGTTTTGTGTAGGTGTTTTGGTGTAAATTTGTTCCTCACAACTGATACTGGACCTTGCCTCATTTGCTCTCAACTCAAGTTGTTGCTGAATTTGTACTGAGCTGACTATGTGTATTTACACAACTGACATATGTGTGACATATGTGAAATGAGTAGGCCTGTCATTAAAATTTAGCTGACAATTAATTGCCAAATAAATAATTGCAATAAACAATTGTCAATAAAGTAATTGTCTTTTTTGCTCATTGTATGCACAAGCCTAAAAAGGCCAAATGTTGTGATTTGATGGTGGTAGACACAGCTCAGATTCTAATAAACAAACATTACTCGAACATTATTCGCCCTCTAAACCAGAGGTATTCAGTCAAACTGTGGGGCACAAAGGAATTGCAGGGGAGTACGGGTAAGGGTTGAGACAGAAAATGGCATGATTAGAAAACTGTTATTTATGAAGCTCTTATTGTCATGTGCTGCTTTTTATTTTATTTTGTTGGCCAGTTAATAATAGACAATAAAAGTTCTGGACCAATGGGATGCTTTGACCTAATTGTCTTTATACATACGCTGCAGTAGTTTGTTTTAGTTGAGGGAGGGACCCAAGTTCTCAAAAACTGCCATGGGGGCCTTAGGAGGAAAATGTTTGAGTACCTCTGCCCTAAACGTTATAGCACCGGAGAGAAGTTTAAACTTTTGTTATTTTCACAAGACCTATGTCGTGTCTCAATAAATGTTTTTTTTTTATGCTTTCTTTTATTTACTTGCAATTATCTCAACCCAAAAAACAAAAGCACACCTGATTCACATTCTGTTTGTTTCAGCATAAATATGTGATTGTGAAAGCTTTGGAAACTTTGTAAAATAATTGACTGTTTGCTATATAATGATTGACGTGCCTCTCAGACAAGCATAGCCATCTCTAAACGTTCTGTTAAGCAAAGAAAAAAAGTCAAAAGCAAAACTTGTCAAAGCAAACCTGCAGTTCAGAATTATTAGGCTAAGAGATGTGAAAACATGTGTAAACACAAAAAATAATGGGCATCACTTCCATTTGTCCGATAAAGTTTGCTGAAAAACTGTGTGTACAAGACATGGAGTCCTCCTCAGCACATATAAAAGATTTTCCTGGTTTGATTAAAGTGAACATGGTTTCCAAAATCCATTTATTTATTTTATATTGGCCTACAATCATATTGTCTCCAGTGAACATTGTGTACAATTAGTTAATTTTTGAACAAATAAATATTTTCAGAGTTTCTGAATTTTTCTTTTGTATGCCTGAACTTTTTAGTCTGTTAACACAAATATTACGGATGCTACCAGGTAGCCTGCACTGAAAGTTTGACAAACATAGCAGCAATAACTAAGGGCGGCAGGACTTTTTTAGCCAGAAAACAGTCAGTTGTGGTCAGTTTAAATAATTACAGTCAGGCAATTATGTGGTGACTGTGACAGGCTGTGGATATCTTACAGAATTTGTATATTTTTCAGTTTCTTTAATTTTAATCTCCATGTCAGTGGTAGTAAAGATAATTGTATTAAAGTAAAAGTGTATTTTGTGTTCGTCCTACTTTGTGCAAAGCTCCAACTAAGTGTATTTTAACCAGGCTCTCTTTTTTCCTCTTTGTGTTTCAGGTGAGAAGCTGTGAGTTTTGCTGAGTCCCTATTAAGGCAGCTTTCTTCGGTCATGTTATTCTTGAGTGGTGAGAGGAGAACGTGAGGATAGTGTTGTGGAGATAGACAGCGAGTGGAAGACATAGAGACAGAGTGTGAAAGAGGGAGAGCTGCCTTTGCTGGCATGTCGCACCACCATTCGCGAGGGCACCAGGGCCGTGCCTCCAGCGTGGAGGAGAGGAGTGCCACACCCGTCCACAAGAGTTCCACCCCCACACACAAGAGTGCTTCATCCTCCTCCTCCTCCCAGAGGGACAGCAGACAGGTAAGACTGAGCCAGATGAGGACAGCTCTCTCATGAGCAGCTAGCTGTGAAAAATGAAAAATGCTTGTCATCCTAACACTTAGACGTTATTACTTTTGTTTTGCTGTAGTATTTAAATGTGGTTTCACAATCACATATTTAATTACCTGGTAACTTAGACAATTAACTATACTTACATTTAATTGACATTTTGCATCTGTTTGAACTCACACTTTTTGATGTCAGGAAATACCATAAACGTGGCAAAAAATATAAAGGATATTTCTTCTTTCTGCAAAACACAACTGTACGGACAATAGCTTCATACAATTTAAATTATGATATCACTTCTTATACATAAACAAACAAGAGTTGATTGAAATTTAGAATCCATGCTTGTATCAGTGAACTCAGAGAAATAATTGTATCATTATATTGCATTTTTTAACACTGCTGATAACTCACTTCTCAGGGTTAAATTGCGAGCTTATTATTCAGTTATTAATCTTAAGACTTGATTTATTAGCGACTATATATTCGTTGGGTAACTATTAAACTTACATGTATGTTATGTATTTATAAGAACGAGAAATGGACCTGGTGAGGTGTCCAGGCACTTATTTTGATAACAGCTCAGGCTGTTTTCAGCTATTTTGCCCTTTATCAGGCTAGAATTGATAAATTGATGATACAGGAGCTTGGATCTGCACATTAAGAAATGACAAGGCACCATATCTTATCAGATGTTTTGTTATACTTCATTACTATCAGGTTCCACCAATTCTGAAAGTCTTGTTTTCCTCACCAGAACTCACTGACTCTCATCTTGTAGTACATGTGCTTTATTACACCTATTGTAAAATGGTAATCAGCTATCAAGTGCTCTGTTTCAGGGAAACAACATTAAAAAATATTATCACCCCACTTATTAACATATGTGAGCTGTAGCTACACTGTTACTGCAATAATGAAGGCTAAGTGCTTATTTTTAGAGGGACTTTTTAGAGCTTCTGAGTATTCTGAGTAGAGTATTCTGTAGTAGTAGAGTATTCTGTAGTAGTAGAGTATTCTGAGTTTTCTTTATTTTGTTTTTATATCTTGAGAATGCACCATTTCATTAAGATTTGAGATTACTATTTGCTATCTGACCCAAAAAAATAAACGTTTATCCTGTTTTCTTGACTTGACATGGCATGACCACTATATTGCTTGCATGTGGTTTGCATGGTTTTTGACATTGGAGCTTTGAACGTTTCGCTGTGAGCAGAGAACAAGTAGAATCAAGCTGATCCGAAGGCACTTGTTTAATCATGGTTACGTGCAGGTCCCTCAGCATGTAGACTCTGGGTCAGTCTGAAAATAGCAGCACTTTGTGCCTCCTGTAAATCTGCTCATTAAAGCACAGGAATTAGAAGAAGAAGCAGCACGCTCTTCACACACACATACTCACTGTTCAGACAGGTCAGATACAGATACACTAATCCATTCACATTTCTTTTACTAAAGTAGATGTGATATAGACTACGCAAAGAAGTTAGTATGATATTTTGCATTTGTAGGATTAGCTTATCTCCCTTTTCTTCATGTTTTTTGCTCATTACATTATTCCATTTCGCTATTCTGATTTTGGGAGTACCATTAATATTTAAATATTGACAGCATATTAGTGGCTAATATTGTTTGCTGATAAATTGGAAAATTTTATTACTATTATTGTCATTCTTGTAACCAGCATTAAAGTTAATTTAATATTTAAAAATTAAAAAAAAAAAACAATAAAAAAGGATGTGCTGACTCTTCGTTGTATCTTACGTGCTTGAGTATGTGTAAATAGGTACATTTTACCTTCACAAGTATATTTTTGGCTTTATACTTCCACTTTTAACAGAGTAGCAGTTTTCCCACAGTGCCCATACCATTCCATTTTAGCATAAAAAAAACTTTATGGGCAAAACTAGCTCAAAGCCATCATAAAACAGTGTCTCTGGCATTAGGCAACTTAATCATAACTTTCTGTGAGGTAGCTTTCAGTGATTTTAAATGCTTCAGACATCTGGTTCCTATCGCCACTTTGTGAATATGTTCTGACTCAGTACGTTTTTCTAGAATGATGCATTTCACATCAAGGCACTCTGAATGACTTTGTTTGCATCTTAACAATTTAGTTACGCAGAAATGTTTTGAAATGGCTGGAATTCCCTTTAGTATAGTTTCTTTGTACTTTTTCCACCTCTTGCTACAATAAGGTTAAAGGTATTAATTATCGATATTGATAAAGCAATTCCACATTGGTACATCCCTAGTTGAAATCAGGGGACATTTGAAGACCACTGTTATCAAAATGAATGCAACAGAATTTAAGGCAGCTGCTTTCACATGTTCTGTCTGTGTGTCTCTCCTAACCAAGCTGCCCTGCAGAACAGTGAGACTCTAGCGCAACTAGACACTGTCTGGAATCTCTGACCTCACACTGTTCCAAAGTGAGTGTGTGAAAAATATATGAGAGAAAAAGAGATGCTGAACGTTTGCATGTGCTGTAATCCAATGGACTCTCTCCTTACCCCCCCCTTCCGTCTCTTCTCTTTGACCTCCATTCTCGTTTGTATGGGAAGGAATGCTTTGAAGAGCTTTAGCAAGTTGATGAGAGAGACTTTGTCCCTTAGCTCCACATGCTTGGAATGATCAGAAACAAAAAGGTCCCCAGGGAAGGAACTTCCTTTCCTCTGATGTAATGAATCACGGTAGATCTTGCAGATGTATACTGATCAATACTGCTTTGTGAGGAAGAGTGGACCAGATGTGGTCAATAAAGGCATGTGCATTAATGTGCGTGTGTACATGTGGGATATAGGGCGATGTGTAGAGTGAGTGAGTTAGTGTCTGTGTACTAGCTCATATGTGCTTGTATGCGTGTGTGTGCACGTGTGTTTCTTTTCTTATGTCTATAGGACCAACAAAAATGACACTGAATTGTGATTCTTTTTTAGTAAAGCTGCAATACTGTGCAAAAGACAGAGACCCTTCATTTATGTAATTTCCAGTTAAAACAGCCATTATGTTCATTTATTTTGCAGCATCAGGAAAAGAGCAGAAAACGTATATTTAACAGAACATTACATCGAAGCCTCAACAACTAAATATATCATTTATTTTAGCATTTAGTGCATTGATTCCCTGTGGATCTAATGTGATATCTTACATCTAATCTTCTTCGAAATATCTCCTGAAAAAATGAATACATTGTACTGAATGGCTGTTTTGACTGGAAATTACATAAATGAAGGATTATTTCTTACCTCTGCACATTACTATATGTTTCATCTTTTAGAACTGGAGGCAGTCATTTCTTTTTGGTTTCTAAAGTTAAGGTTAGGGTTTAGGTTTTGGTTAGGCTTTGGAAAGTCTTATCACATGTAGGTCCTTTTTTATAATGCACGCTGGAAATAAGACTCATCCAATGTCCTTACTTTGTATTAAAACAAACTGCTATGTGTGGAAGTTTAATGAGACAATGGCCCTTCAGATCAAAGCTCTGCAAGGAAAAGCTGAAAAGGCTCCCTCATATTACAGTCAGTATGTTTATAAACACCCTGGAAGAGGGGAAGCCCTCATTATTTCTGTCTGCCTTTGGAGTGGCATCACACAGCTGCTGCCTTACTGTCAAAGAGGAAATCCTGCGCTAGTGTTTTATCTCTCCCCAAAAAGAGAGAACAGCAGGCTAGCCAAGCACAGTTATATAGTGTGGTTTAAAGAATCCTTATCATGTAAAATTTCTTAACTGATTTTAAGTAAAATATGCTGTAGTTGATGTGGTATGTAAACATTGTTAAAATTACATAGCGTTCACTCTCGATTCAATACGGTACATGTAGGAAATAGCTTTGGGGCAGTAACTGATATTATCCTATATCACAATCTTAATTATGTACATGTGTAATGCAAATTATCATTCTTTCGTTATCTTTATTTTTGTTTGTTTAGTTTTTTTTAATGGATCACCTTTATTTAACTATTCCCTTTGTACAATCTTCTAATATATGGATAGTTTAAACATGCATACAATAGAAATGATTACGATTAATTATAGGCTGTACAAACAGAACATCACCAGTTAATTAACTAGACACATACATGCTTTGAATGTCACTTAGAAAGATTATAATGTAGATTTTCAGTCTGGCAAAGATTAGTGGGGTACTTGCAAATGAAATAAAAACTTGTTTTATTATTTGCCGGTTTGTTGATTTGATTGACACTCTCCTCTACTACAGACCAGACCCAGTTCAGCACACTGAGCTGGATGATGTATCCTGAGAGGTTTTTGCACATTGGTAATATTACCACCCTTATTAATAACGTGTTTTCTGCACAGACAGCATGTAACACTGTTAACATCCAGTGGTTCTCCACTTTTGTGTGGTTTAATAACAAAATGCAGTGAAACTGTGTTTTATATTATTATGTCATATTAGAAGCTTGCCGAGATGCTAATTATATGGTAATTACAGTTGTATCCAAAAGTTTGAGCACCCTGGCCAAATTACATATTGTAATGAAAAGGAATAAACACAACCTCTGCAGAAAACAGGTTAAAAAGTTATTTCTTTCTGCAAATGTTAAAGCAGAGTTATTTTACATTTGGTTAATCTGTTTTTTTTTTTTTTAATAAATAATTAAAACAAAGCATAAGGGATAAAAAGGAGTAATGCAAAAATTAATCGCAGCTCTTTTTGGTACATAAAACCACACAAACCTCATACGTGGATCTCAGAGAAACAGTGGATAACAGGCCTGTAACACAAGAGTTTGTACTACATCTGTACCCTGTTCTTCTCTGAATCCTTCATATTTATAGCATAAAGTCGTACACAATATCTACACCTTTTTTCTACGTTTGCACTTTTCCTCCAGTCAAATGAGATTTATTTAAAAGTACTAGAGCCAGTAATTTCTCCCTTACTGCTGTGTTGTCAGATCCTAACGGGTGATGTGTTGCCTGGAGTGCTAGTCATCATTGAGGG